CACTTGGTGACTCCGAACATCGCCATCATGAGAGGGTTACATTTTAAAAAGTAACCCTCAGGGTGAAAAACAAATCTCCAGCTCAGCTGCAGATTTTCATTGTTCCTTGAGACCTGACAAAAATGTCAAGGGGTTCCTGTGTTAAATGGGTTGAGAAAGACTGGATTAGAGTAAACAGAATCCTATGCACAATGCCAGTATGCAGCAAAAAACTAAATTGAGGGAAAATCAATAATATAGCTCTATAAACTAACTAGAAAAATTAAACCCCTCCACTCACACATCTATTGATATTTCTTACGCTTGCAAGGTTGTATATTACTTACCTAAAGTTCACCATTCGGGACTGGTGTCACTTCTGAGAGCACAGACCAGTAATCCAGAGCTGAAGTTCGTGCCCCGGTCATGACTGGCAGTCTTTGAAATCCTGAGAGGACCCTACCCCCAGACAGGCATAAAGAAGTTTCCACATAACTGAGGCAGCAACATGGATACCTATACAATGCCCCTAGTTCTACGCATTAAGGTCCAAAGTGGGGCTTTAAGGTTCAATTTCAAGCAAAACTTTTTTTTAGACTTCAGGCTTTTACTGCAGTGTACCTGTTGGTGAGACTTCCCTTTGTTTCCAGTTATTGGGACAGAAGCGAAGAGAAAATCTCTTCCATGGAGAAAACAACAAAAATACCTTTCTAAAAATACTTGAGAAGAGTTAAGTCTTGTTCACACCCTGTCCATTGAGTAATGCCATAATCGTGCTATACCAAACAGGGCTGGAGGCATGGCTTTCCTGGGTGTCTAATGTTTTTTGTTCATTCACCTCAGAATTTTCTGTTATGGTCCTGTGTTCCTAACAAATAGTACCTAGGCAGAAAAGAATGAGAAGCATAGACCAGCTGTCAAGGTTTCTTACCCTTCCTTGTCCATTTGTTTGCAGCATGGTTTGTGTAGTGTTTCTGACACAGTTGCGCCTCTTATGCTCAAACAGTTAACATCTTCATTCTACAACTCCTGGCATATTCCCGTCTCAAAGTGATGATGCCAACTCCAGATCACTATTTAACCATCAGCTTGTCCATTCAGTCTCCACCCTTGTGTTTGTTCTGATCAACCAAGTGCACTGTTGTTCCCGATTGACCCTGGCTCTGGCTGGCTGATCTCCTGGTTCAGGACTCCGGCTTTATGTCCGTTCAACCTGCTCTGTGTTCCCTAACCTGCTTCGGCTGACTACCTGCTGTGGCTCCTGACCTTTTGACTTGGTACTGACAACGTCCTGGACTTTCTCAATTGTTTTTGCATTTATGTCTATTGTTATTTTCAATAAACTCATTTTATATTTTAAACCTGCAGTTTAAGTTTCTGTCTGGTTTCTTAGTTCCATAACACCAGCATCTGGGTTTTTTTTCTTGTTTGAGCTACGAATGTGCTGCTGTGAACCAGTCTAATTTTCAGTAGAGAAAACAGTGCTCTTTCTGCACTCACAAGCAGTGTTGTCAGCCTTAGCTGAGTTCTACCCTAATTGAACCACATAACGCCTGCCTTATGTTATGGGAGGGTAGGTGCCCTGTAGTCCAGGGGGGAAAACAAGTTGTAATGCCCAACAAATAAGAATTGTCAGCTCACTAAGGAAGTTAGACTGCACAGAGAGAGAAGCATACAATATCTGACAGATTACAAAAACTGATGCAGGTACAGAAGCGTAAAGAGACAAAACATGGGAACTGTGTGTGCATTGCAGAGATGTACTAGTGTTTGCGTTTTTTTTGCCCAGACTTACATTTTAAAGCAAGCACAAAGCATACAATTTAAAAGGAGTGAGCGTCTGCTAGCTTTTCAGTCATCTTTGTGTACAATAACAAACATGTTATTGTATTTTGATTAGGACTACATCTGCAACTTTACAGTGGTGAGGGACTAATACCTATATTTGCATATGTATGCACCTGAGCCATTGGAGTGTTGCTATGAAAAGCAATTGAGCAAAGCATGGGACTATGAGGTCAAAAGCAGATAACTTATTTCCTCCTTAAAACAGGAACTGGTTGTAGTGTTTGCCATAAAACCCATATCAGAAAGATTATCACATTTGACATCTCATACTCCTACAAGTACAGATATGACAAATGATCTGAGAGCCTTGCCTGTACAATTTTACACATACCAAAAGTGTTGCATCTGAAGGCTTTGTGCCAGTGGAAGGAGTTCAGTAGCAGTTGTGTTTGGAGGACTTGCTCAGAATAGTGTTTGTACCCTGCCTATGGTGTGTTACAAGTAGGCTTTAGCTTTCCAGCAGTTTAGAGACATTGTCAGCAGCTACTGTTCTGATTTTTCTTTTCTACTGGAAGGGAGAAATGGATCCCTGAAATTTGCCAAAAGGGGCATGCCAGTTAATGCAGACTTTTTCATGCTAGTGACTGGTTTATTTTGTTATCCTTTTTCGACAGCTTGTGATAGATGGTTTTAAAATGGACACACAGACAGGGCCCAGTATTGTCTTTCACTCATCGCAATTCTATTGCCATCTTTTACCACCTACTTCATCACTCTCCATGCACACCTTACTTGATCTGGCTGTCGTGCACATAAATGCTGAAGATAGGAGGAAGGGATCAGAGACATTAATTAAGCTGGTGGGGGGAGTGAAGTGCCTATGTAAGAGTAGTTAAGAGGGCAGTGGTAAAAGAACTAGGAGAAAGCAGTACATATAATGATGTGGACACTCGTGAAAAGATTGTTTGTAATGCAGATACACACTAATCTGTGCACAATATGTATGGTGGGAGTGAACACTGCTGGATTGTCCTCTTCTACATTACAGACAGACATGTTTCAATGTGAATGAATAAATAAAACAATTGCCATGCAGCGCAAAACTTAGGTGATGTCTTTGATGCTAAATTTACTCTTCATGGCACGATCAACCAACAATAAAACTAGACTGTATACTTTACTACATAACATTTTAGACGATTTAAATGAGACATCTTTTGCACTTTTATAAAGCCTTGATGCCACAAGGATTTTACATGTTACAAGCACACTAGATTAGCAGCTGAATTTGTAAAACAAAGACTCCTACATATCAGCACGGTCAAAAGTTTGTTTACCAAAAAAATGAAAGTTCAGTAAATCAAAGTCAGCTCTCTTAATATATTAATAGGATACTTCTCTGTTTAATACACAAAGCTCAGGTCTCTAGGGAAATATAATAGGTGCTCACAATGCAAGGTAGAAAATGATATCTTCACGATATGTTACCATAGTATATCAGAAGTTGCAGGACTTCTACAATCCTAACAGTTTTGTAGTCCATCACAAATACATTGAAGAATATTTATTTCACAAGCGTGACATAGGGATAGGGAGAATGACGGACAGAGACAGACTGAGTGACATCATAATATATAGAAAGATACTGTTACAAAAAAATAAAAATAACTTTGAACATCAAGTATAATTGGTCCACAGAGAAATCTTACATTTATTGTTTAAGCAAAAAAATTTCATTTTTTTTTTTGGTCAAATGAACTACAACAGAGACCCATCTGGAAGAAACAAAACATATAAAAACAAGAGATAATGCATTGTGCAGCTGTGTCTTGTATTAGCTTTGATACAACACAATTTCACGTTCATTTATTCATGTTTAAACAGTGCTCCCATCTGCTGTGACAATGCACCTTGTTATTAATATATTGCCATTTTAAAACACATGGATTCGCTTAATTTGTATTATAAGCAATATAGTGAACTGAGCAAATTATCAGTGAGGGGTAATAACATATTTCATGATGTATGTATGATCTACTTGTTCCATGTACATTCAGCACAGCTCTGAACATTTGCACTACACCTTAACAAAGGTGTCCTTAAAAACTTAGCTGTCCTGTGCTTTCTTGTGAATAGTTATTCAGGAATAGAAAGGACTAGAAAGTAATTCTCGTGCAGAGCTCACTAATCTCTATAGAACAACTTACAGCTGTTGCCATAGGTCCTAGTCAAAGAGAGATCTCAAACTGGACAACAGAATGTAAAGCTGGCCATACACCCAGGGCCCGGTTTTTCACAAGGCTACCGAGGACTTGTGAGATCTCAAACTGGACAGTAGAAAGTAAGACATACATAATCTTTCAATACCCTGGTATTAATCTGATTAGGGGCCCTAGTCCAGTACTCAGTGGGACTTGTGTGCAGAAGAAGTCCATAGCAATCATTTTCAAGCGTGCAATAGGAGAGAGTAAAAGTTTAAGTCAGTTTGCTATAGGCAACAATATCTCTTATCTATGAAGCCCAATGATTTATATGGGGACCACTCTAATTCTGAGAAAGATGGCATGTAGAGAAGACCACTTATTTTTAGATAGATGCAATTCATTTTGCCAGTCTTTAATGCCACTTGCACTTCTGATGTCCATTAAATGTCACTGGGTAGAGAAGACAAATATGGAAATCATCACAAAAGCTAGAACATGAAACAGACCTTAAAACACAAACTTGTAACAGCACTGGGAAAGAAAATGAGAGGTGCAACATAAAAACTACACCGATGTGCCAGCTTTACTAATGTTGAAAGTTGTACAATACAAACTAGCCTATAGTCTATTAGGAACATACAAAATATTAAACATCTGCCAAGATTAATATTTCAACTGCATACAGTAGAAAATAGGATTTCTTTATAGCATATCCCTACCCTTCCCAAACAACCCAAAGCTTTTCACTGTAAAAGGGAACATTCAAAGTGTCAGAACAAACTGGTGGCATTCACCAATAAATCATCTTGTGCAAGTATACAGCCGCAATTGTATCCAAAACATACACAGAAGTTTTATTAAATACAAAGGTAAGATTAGCTGGAACCCAAGGTTGCCTTCAGCACTGCCACTGACAGAAAGCATTTAAAACTAAAAATATATTTCTTGCTAAGCTGCACTCTTCCAAGAATAGGAGAGTAGGGTACAGTATCTGAAACTGCTAACAGGCATTTTATTGTCTGGCTTTTGGTTAACTTTGCTTAAAAAAAAATATAAATCCAAAAAGGGCTGCTGCATGCAGGAGAAAACAGTCTATAATGGGACATGGCTGAAGAGATATGACACAGATTCGCCATTATGAGTCCTTCTGATCGCTTCCGCCAAGATCATAGATATGTCGATAACCTTGTGCAGAGAAAGAAAAACAAAAACATATCATTGGTTTTCATAAATTCACTACAAATGTGTAGAGCTTTTATAGCCAACAATCTGCAGGTTGCAAACAGAAAAAACATATAGATCCTCATTAGCACCCAAATCAGAATGTTTGTTTCATTTTCTAAACATAGGCTATTGGAAGCAGACTGGTTGCTGTGGGTAACAAGTCATTTTTGGGTCTACACACTTACTAAAAAAGGCCCCGATACTGGTCATACAAGAAATGATACAAAAAAACAACAAACAGCGCTCTCGGGAGGGGGCCCTGAATGAACAGTATGCTGCCCTTAGAAACAGGAGGACCTGTGCGGACAGAAACGGAAACACACAAGGGCACAAGACCTTGAGGGTGGTTATAGCATAAATCTGGACCAATGTGCAAAAACAAAAACGGTTAATGAAAGTGCACTTACGTTTGAATGAAGGGACCAGAAGAGGGGCAGCCCTGGAGGAGGATCGGGAGTTCCAAGATCAGTGTTCTCATCTTGGAACTGAGTTTAAGAAGGAGGTTACCCTCGAAATGCGTCGCTTCCCGGTGTTTGAGCCCTTTTAACTTCAGGTCTTACCACCCGCTGGTCTCAACAGCCTTTAACATTTTTCTCCCGTCCACTACCGCCAGATGTTCTTTACGTTGCTACAATTAGACACCTAGGAACAGGACTGCTTCCCGAACTAAACACTGTCTTGTCAGCTGCATGACAGATGTTTAGTCCGTTCGAGTACCACCCAGCCAGATCAAGCGTCCAGCCCTCACCCCAGTCCACACAGGAGCGGCGTCTTCACACCACCCTTCCTCCCCCTTTGGTGCTCAACCCCGCACTCTCCAGTCGTGACAGGCAAGCCCTGACGGCGCATCAGCCATGAGACTAGAACACTGATCTTGGAACTCCCGATCCTCCTCCAGGGCTGCCCCTCTTCTGCTCCCTTCATTCAAACGTAAGTACACTTTCATTAACATTTTTTTTGTTGTGCACATTGGTCCAGATTTATGCTATAACCACCCTCAAGGTCTTGCGCCCTTGTGTGTTTCCATACAAGTAATGATGAAGTCCAATCAAAGATTAAAATAGTTCATAAGATCTTTTGCTTGGCATAACAAAGAAAACTTGGTTGAATTTTACTGGATTTTTGCCAGGATGGATGGATACCTCTTGATGATGTGATCTGTTCAATGAATGATTGCATTATTGCGTGCTTGGCCAGCACATTGTGTAAACAGCATTACATGGTTATGAAGTTGTATCCAAGAACAGCAAATTTCAATATCTCAAATCACCAATACGGAATATAATGAGGAAAAGCCAAGCAGGAGTATGACATGTTCCAGCATGAAATCAGTAAAGGGTTTCTTATACTGGGTATTTCACAACAATTTGCTAGGAGAGCAAGTTCTCTTCTAGTAAAAATGGTCTTAAAATCATCTGTTTTAACCCAGTTCCATGGTATGCATCCTACATATATCAACCTACTGGGCAGCATCAACAACATATGTCCTGTTTAATTTTACCTTGCAGCATCCCAACTCCCCACAAAACTCTTGGCTCCTGAGTGCTATAGTGAGTGAGGGATGTGACTCGAGCAGTGAAGTGCTCGAGTCACATCCCTGTCCCTCCTTGCCTATTCACAAGATGCCTTGTATTTTTCTCAAAGGCTAAAAGGAATTCTGTAAATGGAGGAGGGAATGTGACATTATCGCTCCTCCTCCAATCACAGAATGCCTTGTATTATTTGATAAAAATACGAGGCATTTTGTGAATGGGCAAGTATTGTGGAGGGGCAGGGATGTGACTGTAGTGCTCCAGTTGTATTGAGTTGAAATGGCATGATGTAAGGTGAGTTTTTTTTTTACTTTGCAGGCCGCCATTTTTGGGATTTTCTATCACTTTTTGTCTCAGATAATAGCCATCAGGAATAATAAAAGGTGAATTTACCCAGCAGGAGCACCAATAAAAACTTAAAAGGGATTCCAAACTTTGCCTACTCCATCCAAAAATATTTGGCTATGAACACTATAAAGTTGGCAGTTCCAGCTAAGATATCTTATTTTAAGCACTTGATGAATGCAGTGTCAGCATGGGGAAAAAAATGAATCTATATTGAAAAGGTCAGTACCTGGATCTTTGGACAATGCTTCATTTTCTCTTCCTGTGGTATTGTGTTGGTAACCACAACAGCCTCGAATGCCGCATTATTGATCCGAGAAATGGCAGGTCCGGAGAAAATGCCGTGTGTTAAAATTGCATACACTTTTGTTGCTCCAGCAGAAAGCAATCTAGATAAGAAAACACTACAATGTTAATACATACACAGGCTTTGACTACACTTTAAAAGGAAATCTGCAAGGACCAACTCTACAGCTGTCATTCCAATCCTGGCTTCACTACCTAGCGTTTCACCGAACTGGAACAAGCATACAGCCAGTGAAGTCTGAACTGTTCTCCTGCAGGTACAGAACCAAGGATCATGACTACAGCCCTAGAGCTTGAACAGCTCCCATATTTATATCCTCATAGGTGTCCTTTAATTTGAATGTCTGCAGTGGAAGGAAAATGCAGAAAATACCCCTTAGTGTCATAGAAGGCAACACTGGTGTGTGCAAAAAAAGACAGCATGTAGGCTGCTGCCTAGCTCTCATCTGTAAATTACAGTTTTCTTGGCTGGTCTTTAGTACCTTCAAGATCCCCCTAACTGAATTTCCTGATCTATTTTTTTTTTTTAGATCAGCTAATTGGCCATAACAGCTGGCCAATTAGCATTTACAGAAAGATACCAGCAATTGCATCCTCTATAGCTTTCTCATGATCTATTTACATTGAAGGTGTCTTTCACTCCCAGTTAAAGTAATGACTGATCCAGAGCTGTGCTGAAAGAAGGCAGCGGTACTCTGTACGTAAAGTGGACCTTTAATGAAAAACGGAAGCTCTGCTTTATTGCCAGCCCCGTCCCCCAGTGATGTCACTGCGCTTCAAAATCCCACAAGAATGCAATCCAGGCCATAGCAGTTAAGTACAGCAAGATCAAGGTCTTGAATCTGCCTCTTGACAACTGTATATTTTCAAAGTTTGTGAAATGAGCTGTAAGCAATTGCCACAGATACTTAATACATTTGTTACTTGTTCTAACAGCCTCTGAAAAAATGTGAATTTGATGGGTTACCTTTTCTAAACTTTCAAGCAATATTGCCTGCAGCCTCCTGGCTCTGAGTACTTCCTGCTGTACTCTGAAAAATCTGCTTCTGGGAGATGGATTGCTCATTCTGCTCAAAACAGAGCAGATCCCCTGATACTAAACAGCACCCTCTAGTGGTGGCCAGAAACAGCTTGATGACAGCAAAGATGGATGCAAACACAGAGCCAGGTTATGCTGCTGAAATCAGGAAAAGGTCACCCATCATGTTGGCATTTTTCTCAGGCTGCAGGAGGAGAGCAAATGCACAATGTTTAGTGAAAGTGCAGTTATACTTCAAATTATAAAACAGTAACACATTTTTTTTTAAACATGCAGGTTCAACCTATACCTCCAGGTATTTACAGCCTAAGAAAAACAGGAAACGTTTTTCAAAAATAACCTTTGCTTAAAAAATACAAACCGCAAATGTAATTACTACAATACTGACACATTAATTCAGTCTATAAAATCCTAAACCCTTCTTCAATCACCCTGCACCTCAGGGACCCTTTAATACCATGGAATGTACAGAGTGTGTGTGTGTTGAATGTAATCTGCTACTTACTTGTCAGCAGCATGGCACATAGTACCACATGTGTCAGCCATGTCATCAACAAGAATGGCAACCCGATCTTTCACATCTCCAACCAATACCATCCTGTCCACCTCATTGGCTTTTTTCCGTTCCTTGTGGATTAGGGCAAATTCAACATTCAGTCGATCAGCAATAGATGTCACCCTGTGAAAAAAGACAGGATTAATCTTAAAAAATATGTACCTTATGGGCTAACTAGTTTTAAAACTGTAGGTATACCGCTACATATATTTCATATATTAATAAGTGTGCCTAACATAATAAAAGTGAAACATTCTTTTTTCCCCCCAATTTTCGGTACTTTTTCCGTTCTATAGTAAAAAATAAAAACCCCAGTGGTGATTATAAACACCAAAAGAAAGCTCTATCTGGAATCAATGTCAAAGTACCGCATCGCTGAATACTGAAAAATGGCCTGGCCCAGAAGGGGGTGTAAACACAGCGGTCAGCAAGTGGTTAATGTAGCATTCCATGGGGGAATTCTGGTGCCATCTGAGACAGCTATACATTTGTTACAGGTATTTATATGCCGCTGACAATTTATGCAGCTATTTACATTGCACAGTCACATCAAACCCTGCCCTCAAGGAGCTTACAACCTAAGGTTCCCATCTAACATGCATACATACAGGGCTAATTTAGAGAGAAAGAGAGAGATACACATACAGCAAAAAGGAGCTACACTTATTAGGCTGCAAAGAAGAAAATCGCAAGTCGACACTGTTGACATCTAGTGGCCAAAGTTGGATTTAATTGTGTATCTACCCTGAGCACGTAAAATTATTCAGATAAATATATGTACTAGATATAAACCGCGAGTGTGCATACAATTCTGCAGCAATAACAAAATAGAAATAGGATTGTGAGCCTGGTTTATGAAGCCTAGGAGGTGTGCGTTTTAATCTGGTGATAAAATTGACCACGCCTTTTCCAGTTTAGAGGATATTCGCTGGTTTTTGGCCAATGCCATATGCTGGTTACAGTATATATTTTTTTATCTCTTTACAATATGTGTACTTTTGGGAAAGTTCCCCTTCACTTCCTGTCCCGAAGACACAATCACACTCACAGTGTGCAAGTACAACTCAGGTGTCCCCTTTGGGAACTTTTCCCTTTATTCCTGACAGGATGAATCTCTCCAGCTGGTACCGGTCAGAGGTTCTAAGACTACTATTTTCTACCAAGAAGGAAAAAAAAAAAAGAGTGAGAGAGACTAATGAGAAAGAAGAATAGAAAGAGACCCAAAAGGTACCCAACAAACTCTATTTGTAATGTAAATGCTCATCAACAACAATATCCATACAAAACTAAAAGTAGGTATAGGGACACAAGAATCTTTCAGCAGACATAAGTGAAAGCATCAGCAAAGCAAAAGGGTTGATACTAAAATGCTGATGCTTTGACTTATCTCCGCTGTAAGATCCACGAGTGTTTCTATACTTAGTGTGTGCGCACACACTTTTACCTAGTTTTGACCAACCATAGCTTTAAAACAACTAGTGCTACTATACATTAAATATACACATTTTATTCAAAGACTTGTCCCATTTGGCATGAAACTAATATTATGTTGCTGGTGCAGGATAAAAGGTTTTCCTTGTAATACAACAAATAAAAATCAACAGAGCTATGCGAGCCAAATAAGCTGAAGCACGAAGGGAAAGAATTGTTTAAATGGACTACTGGTCCTATTGTGCAGACTCATTGAGAATGTTGGTGAAGAAAAAGGTGGGTGAAAGCTCATGTTCAAGACTGGCATATAATTTGCCCAGGGTTTTAAAGCTTCCAGGCCACTTTAAAAGATAATAAAAATGTATGTGTAGACACCTCTAAATGTCTGTATTTTATATCACTTTTTAAGCTCCAGGTTTTACTACAGAAGCAGTATATTTTAATGCCACAAGAAACAGCATAGAAAATCTAAAAATAAATATTTAAGTCACATGGTAGTCACATGCTATAACCATGTTGATCTAAATATCACTAGCCATGGATTTTGTTCAATAACAAAGAATTTGAAGAATTTCAAATAGATACTTTATATTTGATTGGTTTTGTTCCACTTTGACTGTATTAGTTCCAGATAACTCCATTGTAGGTCAGTATGTCTCTAATCCCAGAATAATGCTAGTACCTTTTGGCACCACCGGCATCAGGAGACACAATGATGCAGTTCTTCCATTCAGGGATGTTCTCCCTAATCCATTGCAGTACTGCTGGTTCAGCATACAGATTATCTACAGGAATGTCAAAGAAACCCTGAAAAACACAAAATGAGATACTACACCACACATTTACATAACGAGACAGTAGAAACAAAAAGAGCAGCAACTTTAGTCAACGCCAAAAAAAGAACAATGCAAATGAGAATCAGAATGAAGCTTTAACACTTAGGGGCAGTGCATTTGACTTTTAGCAAACATTGACTGCAGGAAATATTAGGTCTATGTACTTTAAATGACTTACTCACCACCTGTCAATATGTGGCAAGTGTCAGTCACAGCTTTATAAATATGTCCCTTAGAACTTCTAAAGTGACAAATCAGCCCACTATCTTGAGGGTTCTGTATTTGTTGTAAAAACACAAACACTATCCTTCATCCAAACTGTCAAGGTTGCAGTATATACACAAAGGCCATCTTACGCACACAAGTAGAGCTGCAACAACTAATTGGCTAAGTCGCTTAAAATCGATGATGTAAACCGCTGTCAATGTTTTCCATCATCGATTAGTCGGCTTTCGATTAGTTGGCTTTCGATTAGTTGCCCCCGTTTGCAGTTCCACACACGCCGTGTACCTCCTCCCCGCCTCACCCAGCTCTGAGCTCTCTCCCGCCGCTGCTCGCTAAGACGCTGCCCGCCAAAATGATCACGTCGTTGCAGGGAGACTAGAGGAACAGCAGCTGCCGACAGTCCCAAGATCTCAGGGAAAAAAGTAAAGTAGCTTGAAGAGTGTGCAGGCAAGACTGCCTGCACTATTCCCCCACATGCTGTATAAATGTATTGCTGGGATAGCGATTGCTTGTATTCCTCTATAGCCGATAGTGTATTGCGCTGTATATGTAGTGTATTGTGCTGTATATGTACCATCAGCTATAGAGGAATACAAATCCCAGCAATACATTATACGTATATTGTATTGCTGGGATTTGTTGTATTCCTCTGTAGCTGGTGGTATAGCCTGCATTGCGCTGTATGATGATTATACAGCGCAATGCAGAATACCACCAGCTATACAGGAATACAAATCAGAGCAATAGTACATTATAGTATAATGTATTATTGCTGGGATTTGTTGTATTCCTCTATATCATTTCCAAACAACTACATATAGTAGTAATGGGGCTTTAAGAAGAAGTGTCAGATTTGCATTACAATATTTCAAAAATGTATTTTAAAAAGATAAAAAAATTCCATAAATACATAAAAATCATCATGACAATTAATTCCCTGATTCTTGCAAGATTTAGATAAATAGCATATTGTACAATTTAACATTTATTCATACATGTCATCCAGATTGGATTAAATTGTACAATATGCCATTTATCTAAATCTTGCAAGAATCTGAAGTTTGACCCCCGCCCCCCAGACACTCTAATGCTACGGCCATTATCGAGCTGACTTCTTGCCCTTCTTCCTGGATGCTTCATCTGCCCACAACATGGGGAGAACACGACACTGACAGATTATGAACAAAAAAATCTTTTAGGAAGCTCTCCTTCCTGGTGGCTCCCTCTGGCCAGTTTTTCTTGGGCTTCGCAATGCTGGAATGCATTCATAATCAAGCAGAATGTAAAAATATTGTTTGCATTTACATGGCACGTAAAAGTATTTACTCAGTCACCATGACTATACTATAATGGTTGAGTTCTGTACATTTGTATGCTCTGATTTCTGTATTAAAAGTGCAGCACAACACAGTAGATTTGCAGCTTCAAAATTCATAAAAAATCATTTTAGGCAGCCTAAAAAAAATGGTCCTTGCCAGTATGATTGTACGAAAAATTGGACAGAGCCTAGAGGAAGCAATTGTAAAAGGGCATAACCGTTGAAACAGTTCAAGGTTCCCGTTTATGTATTTATTATTGACACCATTTAAGCACCTTTCTTCTGGAGTAGGCATACATTACCGTTCAGTAGACATCACAGAAAAAAAAATCGACTAAAGGGAGAATAAGGACGTAGAGTTTTATAAAACGAGTGTTTCCTGCAAAGCTAAGAAGAAAGAAGCCTTAAGACATTAATCTCCCAAAATGCATCTGAAAACCAGTGAGCTGTCTAGGCTGCTTGTGACCATGAGTATTGAGGGATCAGCATAATACAGAAGGTGTTACACCAGTTTCTAGGAAGCTTGGAGGTCCATAGCAATACTGAGATATTTAAATTCACAATAAAGTAGAGGTATTTTGTACAATTTGTTTGCCTCGTGTCCTATTGGATCGTGTACTATTTGTATACAATGGCTTGCAGAAGACGAAGGCCAGGCAGTTGTGTTTGGAACAAAAGTTGATCAGATAGTAAGTCCTATCAGTATCATTTTGCCAATCAAGCATGGCACTGGGTGTATCTGGCTGCTTTTATGACCGATCTCACGACTCTCCTTGTCAAAAGACAATAACATACTGCTGATAAAGCCTTGTATGTTAACTACACAAACATTTAACATAAGAAACAGCAGATTTAGGCAGAGCCATCTCAATAACAGTCAACGATGTATGTACGTGTTGATAAAGAAGAAGATGTCATACCTGTATCTGGGAAGCATGGAGGTCCATGGTGATAATGTGATCAGCTCCAGCTACAGAAAGCATGTTTGCAACCAGCTTGGCAGATATAGGAGCCCGACTCTGTTTAAATAAAAATATCACAATGGAATAGTCACAAATGTTCTCACTCAATTCTCTTTATCCTTCAATGAAAATATAGACTGGAACATGACCAGGTGCTCACTAACACAAATGTTAATGTGAATGTAGTCCTGTCATTGATTATTTACAGACTTGTAGTCTGAAAACGCAAATGTCAGTTTTGCAACTGTGATGAACAGAATAAGACTTGTGTCCCTGGAACATATGCAACATTTGCCATGTTTGAGTTAAAAATATGACAAAATGTTTAACTTTGGTCTTGCCTTTAGGTAATCCAAGCATGTGTTTCTGGACAATGAAGCTGCTAAAAGGTCTAAAAAGATGAATGAAATGTATGTTTGCTGTGATTTAGAATTCTACAAAATTAAAGCTCATCTAGGAGTGGCTCCTACATAGCAATTCTAGTAAAGAGACAATCGGGAAGTGCAATATAAGTGCTCAATAATTATATGATAATATAGGATAATATAGGATTTGTCAGTGTCAGCAACACAGAAAATTAAATTCTTCACCTATGACATTGCTTCTATCCATCATGTCTATGTTATGGCTTATGCACCTGGAGTTTATATATTTAAAAATTTCAATGTTGGTCCCATCTTTATCATTTAGCAGAGGAAATTAAGAATGTGGCCTACTGTAGAAATTAAGCAGCAAGATGCATTTGTTTTGGAATGGTGTTAGCACACATTGCTACAAAACACCCAGGATCGAAGTCGAAGACATTTGATGATATGTATAACAGACATTACTGCTGGCACAAGTAATTCTAACACTGGGCCCTGACCAGGTTACGATTTATTGCAGGATTTATTGCAGTGTTAACATTTTACACTGGGTGCATACTTTTAAGGGGTGCTATGACTGAAAAAATGCTCACAAACGCTGTAAGAAAAAATAAAGCTGAACGTCAAATCCAAGGCTAAACAAATGTGATCTAAATACAAGTAGTATGTGTACCCTCACTTGGCATAGTTTGTGCATTTCTTCTAGGTCTGTGCAGTAAAGTGCAGGAGTTTCTTTTAAAACAGAACAGTCACTGCTGCGCTCTCCCTTTGTTCAGGGTGACTGATCCTCCAGGGCGACTGCCAGGAAACCAGCATTATCAAAAGGAGAGAGTTCATCAATGGCAGCCTCCATAATCTTCCATGACAAGAGTCCCTTTAAAAAGGTATATGAATAGTGCATGCCCTGATCAGCTTTACTCTTTTTTTGCCGTTAAAGCCTTAATCTATTCAGCTTTCGGAAAGCCTTGTTTTTCGAAGGCTTAGGTATTTAAAGAGAATGGAAAACTGAAAACTCAACAACTCTTAAGAAAATGCATTTACGTATTACGCAGTCACTGCTGTTGAACTGCTGCAATATAATGATACATGCTGCCATCTTGTGGCCACTAATAGAACTATACAAGTTAAAAGAAATAACAAAAAAAGTACCTTATGCTGAAATGTTTCCCCCCCATTTAACAGAAAAGGAAAAGCAAGCATTTCAAACAAGTGTATATGTGGCATAACGTATAATTAAAAAAATTAAGTGAAATGTTGCTCGTTCTATCTAGCACAAAAGCAGGACGTCACCTAATTCTTCAACTTAACCAGAGGTAAACATAGTCCAATGAGACTGCTCGCTTACCAGCGATTAACATACAAAAAACAATGTACAACTACAGCCATGACTGTCAATTTATGTAAGCTGCAGCACATCGCTTGCTATGCTTTAGCTGGAATGACCTGCTTATATGAAATCGATGCAGGAGTGAACTAAATGAGAACATGGAAATACAAAGCTTGAGCAAAGGTTCATTGTGCTTTGCATAAGAATCAAGACACTGCTCGTCATGCTAATGCTATCACTATTTGCAAGGTTTCCTTCCCTGGAAGAAGCTGGGCATTGGAATGCACAATACATATGTACAGAATATATTTAAACGAAATGTCAAGACAAGCTTAACAAAATGTCAAATAAGAAAATGTGTAAAGCCTAATGTATTACCACATGTACCAATTAAGAGATTCAATTAGAGGCCTCTGTGTGCTGTCTCAGGAATTGCCTCAATCAGCTCCTAAAATAGAGCTAATTGGTTTGCATGCTCTACAGCCAAAAGATTCCATTGTCACATGTCAACATGCTAAAAAAAAAAAAACTAGCAGCACCACCCAATATGTAGGAAATATGGCAAAGGTTGGGTATTTAGGAAAGTTCATAACTGTGCTCAACCACTTATAAAGGGTGAATTACTGAAATGCTTATAATACTATTGTAATCTTATAAATCCTAAATGGTATTACTTAAATAGCATACAGTACCACTCTTTCTACAGCAATGCTTTTTAAGGTTCCTACGCAGAGAGTGTTTCGGGATGGTGACAACAGGGGGAACATGTTTGCCCATTGGTATGGTTATTTGTAGTCTCCATCAGGACAGCATGGCGGACTGAGAGAGTGGGACCTCATACAGACTATGGAGTATGTACTACCATACCCCTTTGGTAGCCATAACAGCAATTTTTGAACTGGTTTCATACCCAATTGCTTGACTACATACATTTAATTGAATTAAGAAGGAATTTACTCAAAAGGGTTTTAATATCGACAAAAAATGATATTTTTGTGGTAACTTTCCTTTTATAAAGTAAAAATTGTTATTGTATTTAAATTAAGGCTGAATGCCATGCTTACTCTAGATATACTTAGTAGAATTAATAATTGGAGCGACTGGTCCAGACACAGCAAAGTGGCTGGCTGTGGATAAAGTTGAACTTTGGTGTCTTGATGTTATTTGGTAATAAAGTAATTTAAATTACCAAGGCATTTTCGAACACAAGAGAATAACCTTGTACCCAGCACATAAAATGCACTTAAACTGCTTAACATCTGTCATCAACGAGCAATATCACAGTGGGCGTCTGCCATTACATATCCATGTTGCCCTGATTATGCCTACATTGCAGTTCTGCAGAGAGAGAATGCAGCTTTACTCACTGACTGGTTACTATTACATTTTCAGCAGAGAATGTGTGCAAAATAATGCACCTTTTTATTTGTAGCTTTTAACACTATGATATTTTTAATGTTTTTATTTAATTTTACATTGAACCTTAGAATGTCAAAGGGGCTGAAACTTGTCCACATGCTGTGCCATTAGATTGGTCATTTTTAGACTGCTTCTATATTAAATATAGTAAAAAAAAAACACCTTTTACTGCAAACAGGGGTAGGACATTAAGGGCCTATTTACAACGCAATTGTGTTGCAGCAACAAACATTACCTGCATTTGTGGGATGCACTGCCGTTCATTCGAAATGGCACCCCAATATACCTCACCAGCGCACAGATATCTTGAGCCTGCCTTCATTTTCTGTCTGAATGACAATCATTATCAACCTCCTCCCCTACTCTCAAAGCTATTAGCTTGCTCTGCCCTTAGTCATGTGTGGGTCTGATCTGTAGGGCTGGCGTCAGTGTGCTGCCCTTCCCACGCATCAGTTAAAAAGAAAAAAAAATCCCCGGCATATTATATTTAAAATGTGCATCCCTGCAGGTCACTGGCTGCAGACTTTAGCTGTGCAATCTGGTGATCAGTTGATTACAATCTACTAAAGTATGATCTAACAACTGATCAGCAGATTGTACAGCTAAAGTCTGCAACACTCAGCAAGGATGAATGTCTACATGGATGTTGAAGCTGTGTTTTTTTACTCTCTCTAGGCAAGGTGCTGTAACGTATACAGTTGTCTTCTGGCCCCTCCCACTAAACTCAATCTGGCTATGGAACAAACACCATAAGAAAATCCCAGTGATAAATGTCAGCGGGTGTCAAAGCAGGTACTTGTTGAAAACAAAATTTTTGGATTATGACATTTTAATTGCATGTTGACTGCAACATGGGGCAAAGTAATATATATGAGGGGGCAAAGTAATATATGGGTACATTACACTTCTGCTTTAACTATTGGAAGCGCCAATTTGTCAGGTATCTGCTAAATAGATATGCCATTTAACCTCACAATTGACAGCCACAAGCTAATATTTTAGGAAATGATTACCTGTGTGACAAATCATTTGGAACCACAAGACAATGGTAGCAAATTATACATAATTAAAAACATTAAAAAAAACAAAAACACTTTTCATACAAAGCACAGCACTCACAGAAATACTGTGAATTGTTAAGCATACAGAAAAAGGAAGGAATATGAAAAGGCACAATTATGAACAGTGCAAATGACATTGCTGCATGAAAATATTGACATATGCATGCCTTGGTCTCTGTGAGAAAACAATGTACTTTGACTAGAGACCTGACCTCGTTACAAATTTCACAGCAAAGCTATACCTGTAAACTGGGGAGGTTTGTGCATGTTTGCTTTCCAGGACATGTAAAAAAAAATATTACACAATTCTCTGAATTTGGCAAGAAAAACTGGCTTCAATGTTCTCCCCCACTAGCTAAAGGTTATTTAAATATTATAGTACTAGAGTAGAGTAATGTTTACCCTTGAAGGAAAGACCTTGGGACTGGTTATCTTGTTTCCTTAAACATCATTGGATTCACATGGTAAAAGAATACTTTAGTAAGCAGATATAAATGGCTTCTGGTTGCTGAAGCAGTGCACTTTGGAACATCCAATAAATTCACGAATAGCACAAGTATAGTGAAATATAAAAACTATATACTCTCACAATGTTACGGTCAAGAAAAGAATTTAATGTGCATCTAAAAGCCCAAAAATGATATTTTTTTAAATTCGACAGTGGCAAGGGGCTAGAATGTCTGTCAGGTTTCTACTGCTTTCTGTGAACCCAGTGGAGACCATTGTCGTCAGAACTGAAAATAAGGGAAAAATCTAAAAGTTTGAGTACGAAACGGGAAGATCTTTCACTTGGAACACTTGTTCTAGTGAAAAATGTCAAACTGTGTATTCAATTATTTTAAAGAGATTTTTTCTAACCTCCTGTTGTGTTCAAGATGGGAAGCAAAATAATATCTGCCCATGGGATGCAGACACACGAAAAAAAAAAAAAAAAAAAAAGATAACCTTAGGGTTTTAACCATTCCTTCCTCTATCCAAAGTTACAAATAAACCTGAAGCATCTTGCAGTGTGTTTTGACATGTGCTTTCTGTTAGGCCGGGTGCGCACCTAGGCGGCATAGTTTTTGCGTGTTTGTACACGTGTTTAGTGTGCAGTTATTAGCAAGTTTATGCGTTTGGCACATTTTGACACGCGCTTGCATGCAGATACATGAAGACGTGCGTTTTAACTAGCAGATTAAGAAACATTGTGGGCAATGGACGAATGCGCGCACTAAAGCGCACAAAAATGTTGCTTCTGCCATGCGTTTTTGGGCGTTTCCATTGAAGTCTATGGGGCACAAAACGCGCCGTTAACCGCCCAAAGAAGCTCTTGTATCTTTTCAGGAGTTTAGTGTTGTCCTGCTGGCGTTTTGATGCTCAGGTGTGAACAGGGGTCATAGAAAATCATAGGATTTCTTGTGTTGGGCGTTTAAAAGCGCTCTTTCGACTGCTCAAAAATGCCTAGGTGTGAACCAGGCCTTAGTGTGTTGATGCGTTTCCGGGGTCACACCCCATACATCAGAATCCTGATGAAGGGGGTGTGACCCCGGAAACGCGTCAACACAGGCATTCCTTGCTGGCACACAGGAACGTCTGTGCAGCTGTCACTTGCTCTTTTCCTGGTCCGATGTTAGAGTTCCATTCTCTAATAGAAGGCTCAATTTTTATCTACTTTTGTGAGTACTACTCTTATCAATTGTTTTAAACTTTGAAAAAATGTATCTACACTAGGGAAGGCGCCCCCTGTTTGTTACTCCTTTCTAGCACATCAGTCAGGTTATACCAAGATTGCTTCCATTTCGAACATTTGTTAGCATCCCTAGGCTTCATTTGGATGGAAACTCAATTATTCATTAACTTGTTGACGCTTCGGACATCAAGCTAGTCACTTAATGTGAAATGTTCAGGTCAGCGTGGAGGGCAGAGTTTATATTTAGAACCATCCATATGGATAGCATCTATGCTAGCCATGCTTGGTGCATATGCATGATGTCAAAAAAACATAATATTAAAATTAACAATTAAGCATAAAAAGCATACTGGAAGCACAGCCAACATGGTCAGAGCATTTATTTTTCACCCAGGTATACCTGCAGGGCACCAGTCCAGTCCCTTTGGTTTTAAACTGGGGTTCTTTTTGCATAAGAGAGGCATTTCCAAACACAGCTCTTATAATCTCTTATAAAATAGTTTGAGGTATGGCAGTTTATCTGTACAATAATAATTCTCACAGCTACCAATTATATTCAAAATGTGAATCTAACTGGTAATTGAAGAAGCTAAACACCTGCATTTCATAGCCAGGGCATTCTCCCCTCCTACTGTAAGTGCCTGCACCTTTTTTATTTAATCTGCCACATGGTGACTGCTGCCAAAATCCTATCATATTAGAGTTGTCACAATACACAATAAGATCAGGCTGCCTATGTACTAAACACATAAAATGTATTAGTCATGTACGCTGTCATATCTCTGTGAAGTTGTCTGAATGGTTAAGTCTTGGGCTAGAGCCAGCGACTTTTAAACACTGGAATTAAAAGTAAAAGTCAATTTGGGCTTGATCTACGATAACATGCCACATTACTTCTGGGGCAACAGATAAGTGAATAGTAGTGGAGAATATTGAGCATTGTTGGAGCAGCTGTACAATAAGCACATGACCTTCATCAGCCTCTATTATTTAATTAGTCCTATCTATCCTATGTATAAATATTGAATGGAATTGTAGGAACTGAAACATCCTGGTTTGTTTACTGGCTATGCTTTCACTTTTTCCTGTAGGTGTTGATCGTATACAGCACAGCTCAGATCTGAGTGATCAGTCCTATAGCTGCCCACAGCATATAATCCTCAGCCCTGACCAGGTGCTTATAGGGCACATACATTGCAAAAGTTCCCCTTGTGTGGTATAAAGAGACTGTACTGTTCTCCTTCACTTCGAAGAAATTCTGCCATCAGGACGGAATGTTTCTGAAAGCACGTTTGCCCCTTTTCAACCTTCCTGGGGTTGTACATTGCAATGATGATTGGCTCCAGTATACACATCATTCATTCAGTGGTGTCCAAACCCTAGGAGAGACATGCTTTTATCTTTAGTTCCTATGTTCCAAATAGACATTGTCTGCAATAGCTTATGTTGCAGTCTTCCCCACAATATCTGCAGTAGCATCTTTGGCAGCTCTCCTCCCCCCAACCTTGTAATATGTTCTGTGACATCCCTACTCTCATGTGTCTGCACTACAGTCGTTGGCAGCTAGCCACACCACACTATGTTCTCTGGCAGCTGTCCCATGACACTAATTTTTGAAAGCCTGCGGTCCACACAAGGCTCCATCGTCACACATTCGCTAGATATACAAAAGTTAGCAGTAGATATTGAATATCCAAATAAGTCACATCTTTTCCTTACTATGAATTGTGAGGCCTGATCAAAATCAAGCTCCTCAAGGATAAGTTCATTCTGGAGTCAAAATAAAAAGCAAGCACCCTGATCATGAACAATAGATACATTTATGATAGTTTCCACCTGGATATTGTACAGAGGTGGCTCATCTTACCTTGTCTTTTTTGTCTTGGCGAGCATATGGAAAACATGGAATGACCGCTGTGACTCGAGAGGAAGAAGCAATCTTGCAGGCATTTATCATGATGAGGAGCTCCATCAGGTTGTCATTGATCTCACCACAACCACTCTGTACGATGTAGACATCTTCCCCTCTCACGCTCTCGCCAATCTCAACACTATATGAATATTTAAAAAAAGGGAACATTTACTGTAAACATTACATTTATTGACAAGATGCAACATAACTGCTTGAAAAGTTGTCGGAACAGAAGAAAGAAAGATTACTGTCTAGCAGAAAAAAAAAAAAGGAGTAAATGACAACAGCATGTTTGTGTAGATAACTGTCAAAACAATTCATCCAATGGTAACTGACCTTGATATTCCCAACACTGCCTATGCACCGGAATGTACAAAAAAGTACCTGCACCCTTATCATTTTTTTGCAACAAAGTACACAAGGTGCAGTGCTGCAATAATGTGTTGCAGTCTGCTGCATCTCCCCAACACATGTACCCTTCAATGGTGTGAATGGGCTCTTACAGCTTGTTTTTTATTAGAAAGCAGCCTCAGTTGACAGAGAGAGCACTGCAATCAGCAGGGTGCATGAACTTAACAGTCCGACTTAGCAGGTGGGACGATGGACCTCCATACAGAAAGCAGGGCGTGCAGGTTTTTCTACATAGGCTGTCACTAATTTCTGATAAAAGATTTTGAAGAACACCTTTTGTTTTGATACACCAGGAATATATTTAGCAGATTCAAACAAAAGGTATAGTTAAGGTGCCCATACACCTTGCGATTATTGTACGGTAATCGTGGGAAATCCCGCGAACGTACGATAATCACAAGGTGTATGGAAGGCGTGCGACCGTTTCTACTGTACGGTCGCACATCTTTTGTCTAATGAGCATGTTTGAAAATCCGCCGAGAATCGTACGATTGTCGGCGGGTTTGTGGCATGCTCGGGAGACAAATGCCGAACGGGCCGATGTGCCACACTGCCCGTTCACCATTGCAGTCATCGGAAGCCCGCCCCTCATGGGAACGGTTTTCGGTGATCTGCCTGTCCAAGATGGGCAGATCGTACGAGCTTTTAATTAGCTTACAACAATCGCAAGACACAAGTCTTGCGATGGTTGTAAGGTGTATGGCCACCTTTAGACTTTCAACTTGGATATGACTTGATTAAAATTCTTATAATGTTTTACCCCTGCAATACACAGAACTGGGATATGCAACGGAGGCATGCTCAAAAAACGGAAACATTACTGTTTTTGGGGTTGGCACTTGCCATGCTTTGCAAGTATGCATAGCACACAGTACTTGCACATTATGGCACTTACCTCCTCAGGGTGCCCTCCTCCAACGATGTCAATGTCTTGTTGAACCACTGCCATGCTAACATCTTCTGCTAGTTGTCTTCAGGGTTAAGAGTTTGCAGGCTCTGCTGTAGGGCAGCCACTGATCAACCAATTTCTGCACATGCACACTGCATTATAATGACACCTAGCTCTATTAGGATATTAAAAAACGCCAGGAATGAGGGGTAGTGAAGACTGCATTGGGCACACACAAAATAAAAAGACTACTATAAACAGGAGGATGTTTTTGCACAGGAGAAAGTTTTTGCATATGCATAATTCTGCCAAAAAAAACCCCTCTGGGTGGTATGTACAGGCAGGTTCACTATTTACAAGACAAAGCTCATTTAGCTTTTGAAAAGATGTCTAAATATATCACAGAAAAAGGACAGTGGGAATCTAAAACTGTCAGGATATCTGGGCACCTAATATACACATGCTTCTTTCAGATCATTAGTAGTAAAACAAGTACAAGGATGACACTCCCAGAGCCCCTATCTTCAAAAAGAAGTCACCAATGGTAGCAACTGCATGTTGAGGCAATCTACCCAGGCTGAAATGCAGACGTCTCAGATCATCATCAATCATCAAACCACTTATGTTCAGAGCCTAACTCATAACCAGCAAAAACTGGATAAAACAGAGGCAAGGAAAAAACTGTATGAGCAATAAGCCAGTGTTTTAAAAAACAGTAATTGGAATAAAAGGATCTGTGTTACAAAACAGACATCTTCACATAAACACATCAAACGCAAAAAACAAAAACAAAACCCATTATCACCACCATGAACCAAAACAGAACACAAGATAAAGAACCCACAAATGTCTGCACCACAAAGATTGTACAAAAAATGAATTTTATAAAAATACATTATACACTATAATGTAAAGTATCATTACATTAGAGAAGGCAAATGCATCAGGAAACTTTGGATGACATTGGCCAAGGTCACTTACGGTAAGGCGGACCTGGGGTAAATGCAGGGAGTGTCGTGCAACAGGGCGATCCCAAACAGCCACAATATAATGTATAGCAAAAGGAGTTGAAATGTTGCAACTCCAACAATTTAAAGAGACAAAATATATTATTTTGCAGAAATGTTTCAAATTTGCATTCTATTGCATAACTATTCAGGTGACTTTCTTTCAATTAGTGCAAACATAAAAAGGGACCCACACTGCATGCAATCTTTGTAACACGACTGTGCAGGTAACATATGACAAAAATCAAGGACGTTTTACAAACATATGGTCATTGTGATCAATGACAATCTGTAATAGGGCACTGGAATTTTTCCCTACTTTTTATTTAGGAAAGTCTATCAACATGCAGTCCATAACTCTATTCGTTCACATACTGTAGGACCCATTTATAAAGAGAAACAGTAAGTGTGTGTGTGTGTGTTCCTCATTATTTGTTTCAGGACAAATTTGACATGTCATGTGACAGGGCTCTTCTCCTATCCCAGAGTGTGCTTTGCAGCGTTATGCAGAAATCACAAGGCAGCTCCACAACAGACTCTGCTGTTTATAAATGAAAATGTGAAAAGGTTACCGCAAAGGGCAGCACCCACTCTCCCATATAAAATGGGGGCCAAACACCCTCTCCTCTATTATCTGACAGAACATGTCACACAGTAGTAGAACTATAGCTTGATAGGGAGAAACAAACACAACTAAACATTAACCACTTAATGACCGGGGTGTTAAACCCCCTTCCTGTCCAGGCCATTTTTCAGTATTCAGCTCTTTGGTACTTTGACATTTATTCCATCACACAACACTGTACTGAAATTAAATTTTTCTATATCATTTTTTGGGGACAGATAGAGCTTTCTTTTGGTGGTATTTAATCGTTACTGTTTTATTTTTATTTTTTTTTACTATGGTAAGGAAAAATGACCAAAACAAAAAAAAACGTTTCCCGTATATTAAATTATGAAACATTTATTACCCAATTTTTTGGTAAAATATAAAAGACGGGGCCACGTCAGGTAAATAGTCACAAAACATGTCAAGCCTTAAAATTGTACGCGCCCGCGAAACCTACAATACCCAAAATTGGCCATAGGCAATGCTTTAAAAGTAGAGGTGCACCGAAATAGAAATTTAAAAACCGAAACCGAAAATGTTTATTTTAATTTTTTACATTTATTTATCCATTTATTAAATATTTTTATTTTTTACTTTACTTTACAGACCCCTGATATTTCCCATTTAAAACAGAAAAGAGATTGAGAACCGAGTCCACAATCTCTTTTTCTGTATCCCGTTAGCAATGAACAGGAATCCTCTGAGTGTTCCTTCCTGTTCATTGATAACATGAGAACATTGTTTGTTTACAATAACCACAATTATGAATGAACAGGAGGTGATGTAGATCACTCCCATTCATTCATAATTGAGGATATAGTAACCATACCATATCCTCAATTATCTACACTCAGCGATCACTGAGTGTTTGTAGCCTGCTCTCCTCTCTGGCACACACCGTCACAGGAGGCTGAGTGAGCGATACGAGAGCCCAGCCTCCCGTGACAGCGCTGTCTCTGCCCCCACACCGCTCTGTGAAAGGCGGCTGAGCGGTGTGGGAGGAGAGACGCCAGCCGCTCACAGCGCTCGTCCGGCTGTCACTTTCGCTCCTCCCCGCTGGGACACAGAGCAGTGCCCAGCAAGGAGGAAAGAAATCACGGATGCGACGATGTATCGGCAGGAAAATGGCACTTTCGGCATTTAGCCAAAAGTACAATTTTCGGCCGATATATCAGTGCATCCCTATTTAAAAGCTTTTACCACTCAGTTCAGTATCAGTGAACTGATTGCGGCGATATGAAACGTGTAGCACAGTTGTCGTTTTCGTGCAATGGCGCACCCGACGCGTATTTACGTTTAGATGTGCGTAAACTTGGGGGTGAGGGGACTTAAAGATTCTTTTATTTACTTTAATATTTTTTTTACACTTAATGTTATTGCTATCACATAGGGGAATGACAATCCCCCTATGTGTTAGCACAGGCACACTGACAGGTCCTCTTTAGCTTCACTTCTGCATTCAGACGTCGGAGGGGGATAGGCAAGGAGGAAGATGCTGATCTCCCTCCTAACACCCACCCGAGCTGGACCCGGGCCGCAGCGGAGCCCGGGATTGAAGGAGGGGGATGAAAGCACTGCAAGAGGGGCGCGCAGAGCCGCACATACAAGCGATCGGACGGCTACAGAGTCTCCGATTGCGTGTATGTGTAACAGCCGGTAACGGCTATTTACATTTTACAGTTTTTTTCTACACGTGCGAGCAGAATAAAAAAAAGCCGTTTATTTACGGCGACCCACCAATGGGAGCTACCTGTTTTTTTCACAACGGGTGGACGGCAAGCAGTTAAAACATGCACAAATACCCCTAGCCACGAAAGGCATAGTAGAACCAGGTATCTAATAGAATCCATAAACCATTGTTTTTGTTGTTTTATTAACATAATTGAGGATTTGCTGTGTTTACATGTATATAGTAATTAGAAGTTTTGTTCTGTGTGAAAACATTTTAAAAACAGAGCGGTTTACTGATAAAACGGAAATTATAAACATGGTACATAAATATTGGCCAACAAGGCCCAGATGTTCGCAGTCTACAATTTCACACGCCGATAGCAGGCACAAGACTACGAATCAGTAGAAACGCACGCTGCAAAATGCTACCTAGGAAACTAAATAGGTTAGCCAGTTTCACTGTAAATGGCCTGAGTAAACAGTCACTGGAACCTGGGTTAAAGTTCAGTAAACTGTCTAGTGACCTAAAACCAGTTTTAAGCTCTGGGAAA